ATTTGTGTAGGGAATAGGGAAGGAGCCAAAAAAAACTTTCTAAGGTTTATTCAGCCTTGCTGTGGGCCAGGCTATATATTATTTCACTTAATTTTCACAACCCTGGATCTGTTTGCCCTCTTTACAGAAGGAAAAATTAAGACTTAGCTTAGATGTTATGTGGAAGATTCACACTCATAATAGCATAGCCAGGCTGCGGACTCAAAAATATACTGCTAATTTGCATGGATGTTATGAATATGGAAATTCCAGGACACTGTGGAGGAGCATAAAGTTGGGAGAAAGGACCTGGATAAACTGCTGCTGTGTGCCAAGCCCTGTGTAAATTGTTAGCAAACCTCTTCCCAGTTCATCCTCTCAGTATCTCTGTGATTTAGACAATACACCCCATTATCTACTTGTGGTCACTCAAGTGCTAACCAGCATCCAGAATCAGGTTCGGGTCGGCCTGTCTTTTGTGTTTACCATAATAACCAAAGAAATTATTGAAGAAACATGGGCTTGTATAGTATTGGAACAGGAAGTTTGACAATTCAAGCCTGGCATGGTGGCATATACCTGTCATCCCAGCACTTGGGAGGCTGAGGCAGGAGGAATGTGAGTTCAAGGTCCCTACCCTCATCCTTACAAGCATTTGTTGGTTTTTTTGTGTTCTTTTTTAGAACCTGTGCATGCATGCATGCGTGTGTGTGTGTGTGTGTGTGTGTGTGTGTGTGTGCTGTCATATAAACGTACACATGTGTCTGTGGATGCCAGAAGTGTCTTCCTCTATCACTCACCACCTTAGTTTTTGAGACAGGGTGTCTTTCTGAATGTGAAACTCACAGATTGGCTAGACTAGCTCACCAGTGAACTCGAGAGGTCTTCCTGTCTCTGCCTACCCTCCCACGCTAGGATTACAGACATGCTGCTCACCCAGCTTTCACATGGGGGCTGGAGAATCCAAACTCAGGCCCTCATGCTTGTGCAGAAGGCACTTTACCCAGTCCCATGTTTTGTGGGGGGTTCTAAGATTTGTTTTTAAAAATTTGTGTGTGTGTGCTTGCATGCACATGTATATGCTGGTGCCCACAGAGGCCAAAAGAGGGTGTCAGATCCCTTGAAACTAGAATTTAAGGTGATTGTGAGCCATTTAATGGGGGAAACAACTCAGGCCTCTACAAGAACAGCAAGTGCTTCTCTCTCTCTCAGCTTTTTTGTTGTTGTTGGTTTTTTTTTTGTTTGTTTGTTTGTTTTTGACAGGGTCTCCCTGCACGTGCTTCTCTTAACACTGAATCCTGCTTTTTGTGTGTTAATAGTAGCTTTTCTAGTGGGGTGAGATGTAATCTCATTGTAGTGATTTTTTGCTTGTGGGTTGTTTGTTTTTGTTGTTGCATTATCAAGAATAGAACCCAGGGTCTTATTCATGCTAAATACATGCTCTACCACCAAACTATACCTTCAGCCTCAATGTAGCACATCTTGATGCCTAAGGATGTTGAATGCAAAATTTAACATTTATTTTTGACATTTGACTTTTTGTGCAATATAGCAAATTAGAACCAAAAAAAAAAAAAAACAGGAAAGCTTTTATGAGGGCTTATTCAGAAAAATGACTCATACTGAACATGTGTGGGGTATGAAAAAAAGGCAGTCAGCAGAGAAAAAGTCCATGATGTTGAGTGAATATACCCAGCAAGAAATAAATGAAAATGTGTGAAATATATTCTAAACCTATGTTGCTGTTATCCTTCAGCTATCTAAAATTAAATTGATTTTTTTTCTTTGAGAATTCAAAGTTCTCCTGCCTCCACTTCAGTCTCCAAAGTGCTTACAGGTGTGAATCCCAACACTACTAAGCCAGCTCAGTAGAACATTCTTTTATTTATTTTTTTAAATATTTTATTTATTATTTTTGTTTTATGTGTATGAGTGTATTGCCTACATGTATGTGAGTGCACCCGTGTCGTGCAATGCCACAATGCTGCGGAGGTCAGAAGAGGGCTTTGGATTCCCCTGGAATTATCTTTTTTACTTTATGCGTACGAGTGTTTTGTCTTCATGTAAGTGTGCCTGTGTTGTGTAATGCCCACAGAGTCAGGAGAGGGTGTCAGAGCCCCCTGGAACTGCAGTTACATACTGCTATTAGCCCACAGTATGGTTACTGGGAACCAGACCCACATCCTCTGCTAGATTAGCCAGTGCTCTTAACTGCCGAGCCATCTCTCTATCCCCAATAGAATGTTCTTAAACAGCTTACCTTGTTAAGGATTTACTCACTTTGTGCTGGTGATGAAGAAAATTATCTTCCAATCACTCCAAATCTCATGGCACTTCATGTGACTTTAAGTATTACTTCTGAGCTGTTTTTTACAGACTAACTTACAAATAATGGGAAAGCTTGCTCTGTAACATGAACAACAAGGGTTCCAACTTTACTCCATTTTTGGTGTTTTGGGGGATGCCTCTAAAATGTGAGACTGTAGGCCTACCGTAGTTGGTCTGTACTTCACCTGCTACATGGTAACCACTGGTCACTGGATTTTGATATAAGAGCTCATGTTATAGTGTTATGGAGCCTTCGTGACATCCTCTTCTTTCCCGAGTCAGTGTCAGGACCCATCCTGGTCCACTCATCTTCATCCTAATTTATCTCTCTCCCCAGAATGTTATGTATTACACAACATGACCCTTTTTATTGGAAATTGCTGGGTAAAGTTTACTTGAGTAGCAAGTCCCACCAGAAGCCAGTGATTAAGGTTATCTGCTGTTTAACTTTTTATTTACTATCTGGTCATTCTGCTGAATCTTCCTCATAAGTGTTGCTGAGGATAGCTTAGGCCTCACCACCTGCTAGGCAAGCGCTCCACTACTGAGCCACATCACTGCCTCTCTTATTGAATCTTTTGTTTCCTTTTAAGGGGGATTTATTTTGGCTTATGGTTCAGAGGATACAGTCTCCTGAATCTTTACAAAGCTTTCCCAGCAAATAAAGCAAAATGAGCCCACATAGATAAAAAATATGCCAACCATCTATGTTTGGCTTTGAAGTGTCACTTAAGGCAGAGCAGTTGTTTAAATCTACCTAGCAAGTTCCATATGGAATTGAAATATAACCATACAAAAAAAATCAGTATTTGCCTTGCTTAGAAGACAAAAGTTGGAGTCTCTACAATCCACTTGCAACTTTAGTAATGTTTTTTTGCCAGGCACAGTGGTGCATGCCTATAATTCCAGCACTTGGGGCGCTAAGACAGAAGAATTGCCATGAGTTTGAAGTCAGCCTAGGTTATATTGTGAGTACAGGCCAGCCAGAATTATATACAGCAAGACACTGTCTCAAAAGAATAAGAGGAGGGAGGGAGGGACGGACGGACGGACAGAGGGATGGAGGGACAGAGGGATGGGGCAAGGGAGGGAAGAAATACATCTTTTGAAACATTTTTAAAATTAGCCTTCCTGGAACGCAATTACTATCACGTTGTTTCAAATTCAAACCCCTTGATCAGGTAGAACCCTCTTTTCTAGATAATATTCAGTTATAAATACATAAGATGTCCATGGGCAAGGACTACAAATTAAGCAGGCTAAGGAGGAGAGGTGGGTGATGTGGTGTCATTTTTAAATATGTCAGGAGGACTCTGATGTCACAGTTGAGCAGAGATGCAAAGGAAATGAAGGAAAGACCCAAGTTGCTATCTGAAGCAAGAGCCTTTCGGGTATATGCTCAGGCTCTGAGATGGACTGTGGAGTCAGTTGGCTCACCTGGAGCAAAGCAGAATGGAAGGTGGTACCACATAAAGACCAAACCACATCGTACCTTCTAGACCATGTTAGAGACCTAAGATTTTACTGTGGGTGTGATGGGAGGTGTTGGAGAGCTTGGAGTAGAGGAGGGAGGGCATGAAGTGTTTTAATGTTATCATTGCTTATGTGAGTACAGACTGAGGGAGCCATGGCTGAGTCAAGTAGATTAGTTAAGAGGCCACTGAAGACACTCAGAAAAGAGATGGTCAGGAGTACTGGTCAGATGCTTTTTAAGGTAGAACTGAAAGAACTAATGGATTAAATTTAGGGAATAAAGAGAGGCGAAGGATGACTCCAAAGCTTTGGACCTAATTGGCTGGAAGAATGGAATAGCTGGACTGAGAGAAATACTGCAGGTGAAAGGGAGAAAGGGAAGGACTTGGGTTTTGACATGATTTCTGAAACTGTAGCAAACATCTTCTGAAAACATGTTCAGTCAAGTAATTCATGTAAAATCAGCTGTCATGGACCTGGAGAGCCCTATATTTCTTATAACCAAAGAAATGCCTGTTAATTCTGCCCCTTGTTCCTTTCCCAGAATGTGTTTCCCTTCATCACTTTAGTCTTTGTTATTCTGGTAATGCAGTGCAGGGATAGAGCCTCGCCTAGCATGTATGATGGAGGCAGTGGCTCCAGTACCCAACTGAAAAATAATTATTTCTGTTATTGAACACTGGCAAAATCCTTTTTCAAAACTCCATTATATCTCCCGCTTTCTTTTTGATGATCTACTTGGTTATATTCGTGGAACTTTTAAATTCCTAATACACATGTGTTAAAAGAACTAAGTGAAGGCGTTGGTTTTCTGTAAACTCAGCACTCGGGAGCTCAGGCAGGAATATTTTCTGTGAGTTTAAAGCCAGCCAAGGCTAGATACTCTTGTCTCAAAACAAAAAGAGCAACAAAAAGACTTCTGTTTCTGGAAGTATTTCCATGTGGCTGCTTTCTGTGTAAAATGCAATGGTTGAGGGTAAGTGCTCTTCTGTACCCCTACCATGCCATTGATACAGGATGGGCCACCCAAGCTAAGGACACTTCCCACTGAACAGTACCCTCCTTCAGGGTAGGAGCTGTAACTACTTAATCTTTTCATTTTCTGACTCTAGCCTCCTACCTGATCCAAAAGCTGACAGTCAATGTTGAATGGATGTGTTTCTGAATAAATTTTAGGAAACTAATGAAATATGTCTTTTCTCTTTTGTCTCATTCTCTAGTGCCTGACAGCTATAAAGTGCAAGAAAAGAAAACTGCCCCCAACCGCCCCTCCTCTACAGTTTCAGGAGAAAATGTGGACCACTCAGGAAATAAACCAGGTATGATATAGGGCATTTACTTAAGGAAAGAAGGTTATTTCAGAAGCCTCAGGCTGGAGAGATGGTTCATCAATTAAGAACATTTGCTACTCTTACAGCTGACCCGGGTTTTAGTTCCCAGCCCCACATGGCAGCTTACAACTATCTATAATTCCAGTTCCAGGGGATCCAGTTAATCTTAAAAGGAAAAACAAAGCCTCAGACACATGCTGGTGAAATGTAAACTAAAAGAATTTAGGACACCTTCATTCTAGTCCTCCCACCAAAACACTCTCAACAGCTTTGTGTGAAGCAACTCAAAAGCTCTCAAAGCCTTGACTTTCTCTTTTGATGGTGAAAGTGGAAACACAGGCCTCTCTTAATCATTTTTGACAATCACCAAGATGATGTTTGTGAATGCATCTGTTTAGTACCAACCAGAAGTAATTCTTTTATTGTGTTTGAAACAAAGTTACAACACAGTTTTGTGCCTGTGTGCCCAGCCATTATTATACATCTCTTCTGTGACTTTCTCAAAGACCATTTAAAGAAATATTTACAGACAGCAATGCACACACAGCAGTAAGCTGCTGTTCTGTTCCCTGTACACCTACCTACACAGTAATTTTTTGTAATAGCCTATGATTCATGATTTGATCCACTTCATACAAAGAAGCAGTCTGTAAACATAATACAAATAGCTGAATAGGCAGTGCACTCTCTTCCCAGCATCCAGCAACCACTGTGTGGTTCTTGGGTGAGATGGGCATTCAGTCAGGTGAGAACCCAGAGGTTCTTGGAAGTCTGCTTCATTGCTATACTCAAGCTGAAGCCGCTCAACTTCAGTGAGTCAGCAAGAGTAAAGACCGAAGTAACTGGGTCTAGTCTCAGAAAACATTCTCCATTCTACTTAGTTTTGTCATTTTTTCTCCATGTGGAAAGTGTCTTGAACTGAGTAGATAAATCTGGCTTGTCGTTTAGAGGAAAGACAATAGCAAGCATTGTTGCTTGAGCAGTCATGGTGGAAAGCGTGTGTGGTTACAGCAGAGCTGTAATTAGCAGGTAGGGATTTCCCCTTTACTCAGCTTGTCTTTTCATTCATTCATTTCTACGTCTATCCACCCACCTCCCTCCCAACCACCATGTAGTATTTACTGTGGAGATTTCTCTGTGCCTGGAACTGGGAGAGGTAATCTGTAAGCAAGCATGCCCCATCCTTGTGGACTTATTTTAGGGAGTTTTAACACCTTATACTCAAGTGAGCACCCCACGGAAGTCAAAGCTCCTTTTTGGTTTTGCTTGTTTTGGTTTTTACAGTGTTAGAGATCAAACTTAAGGCCTTGCTTATGCTAGGCAAGCATTGTACCACAGAGCCACACCTCAGACCTCAACCATTTGATTCTCATTGCTCATTGTTCAGTGAGCTGAGGAGACATTTCCTTTCCTGATTATGTCTTTTAAGCATTCTTGTGTCTACTTTCCTGTATATACAGATAAGCAAAGCTATCTAAAAGGTTCTTGTTTTAAAACCTTCATGTGATTTTCCTGAGTCTCTCCAAAGGATGATTAAGAAGTTATATGTTACATAGCTGGGCTTGAATAAAGCATTTGATTTTATAAGATCTGGGTCATAGGGCTATCTATATAAAGCAGTTTGTTGATTTTCATTCTGTAGAACTTGAAAAAAATAAATATAATGTTTAGGGATGTTTTGAATGTTGTCCTAACTAGATGTAGACATCCTAACTAAATGATTTCTAGGTTCTTTTCAACCCAGCAAGTTTCAGCTAAATACCCTTCCTGTCTATCATGCTAACAACAAAATGCATGAGACTGCTCCAGAGCATCTGACTTAGAAAGCGGCTGTCCACATTCCACTGGGGACTGTTTTACATTGGAAACGTGTTGAAACTCCTGCATGTATTTTATAAGTACATGCAAGCTGCCCTTGTCATCCATTAAAGGCTGTTGTTCTCAGCTATGGATACCAAACCCAGACCGAAAGAGACAGAGAGCTAGTGGTTACAGATCCATCCATATCTGCTTGTGACCAGCTACCTCCAACTGATCAAGAGATTGACCTAATTAGAAGAGAAAATTGCTTGAGAAAAGCACAAACTTCAAAATCTTTAAAAATCCCCTGTAACTCGTGTCCTTTGCTAGCCTCTACCACAGGTCTTTTCAAAAGTCACTGAAACTTCATTCTTGCTTATTGACAAGTCATTTTCCTTCACAGAGTGATGCACTGCCTGGTCTGTTCTGGCTCTTCTGACTGCCTGCCACTGTGTATGGAAAGACACTGAGCTGAGTTTTAAGCCCTAGCTCTGACACTATCATCAGTCATAAATATTTCTCTCATTTTACCATTTGAATAATCAGTATATGTTCCTGAATCAATAAATTGGTGACTAACTCTTAGGAGTATTAGGAAAAATGCTAATATGTGTGAACGTTGTAAAATGAAAAGCATTAACAAAAGTTATTGTGTAACTATAGTTACAAATGAGCTAGAGCCTAGTGTGCTCTTAATTCAAAGCCTGTCTTGAATTGATTATCCTGATCATTGGGAGTCATTCTGTAGGAGAATAACCATACTTCCAAGTTTGTTCAGGACAATCAGGTTGACACATGTCGTAACAGTGAGAATGTTAATAATACCCTTGTTCATCTTCATTGTTTGATTTGTGCTGCTGGAGATTGAACCCAGGCTCTCAAACATGTAAGGCAAGCACTGTGCAGCTGAGTTACATCCCCAGCCCTTCCTTCCCTTAGAAGCACCCAGGTAGAATGCAGATCACAACTGCAACTTTACTTATACCAACACCTGTTTCTCTCAAAAAAGTAATGATAATAAATCATATCACTAAGAAGACACACATATTAATTCTTATAAGACAATATTAACATTTCATTCATCAAATTTTGAAACTTGTATGTATATGTGGGCAAAGAGTATGTGCATGTGCGTGCAGGTGCCCTGGAGCTGGAGGTGCAGGCAGTTGTGAGCCCTCCCTCCCCCATGTGAATGCTGGAAACCAAACCTGGATCCTTTGCAAAAGCAACATTCACTCTTAACTACTGAACCATCTCTCTATTCATCAAATACTTTAAACCAAGAAATAGGTGTCATTATATACCTTTTTTTTATAATTCACTCTTCTCATTCAATCTCATTTCAGACCCCCCACTTGTGCTACGAGTTGATGACCGGCAGCGGCTGGCCCGAGAGCGCCGAGAGGAACGAGAAAAACAGCTAGGTAGCCCAAGGCCTGTATGCACAGGCTATGTTTGATCACTTAAGGACACTCTTGTTGAAATGCTGAATTTTCTCCTCTAAGACAAGGGATACTTAGCACTGAGCACATGGACATCACCGTATCCTCTGTACTGACTTGTGGGCCTTTTTTGCAGATGGACAGAAGCAGCCTGGTGTGTGATCCAAGCACAGGGCTGGTATTACACAGCAGTCAACTGCAGCCGGATCATTTTTACTTAATAATACATTGCATTACAGTTGCTCATGGTGCTAAAGGAAACATGGAGTTATGGTGCAGTTTAATTTTTTGTTTCTTGGGACAGGGTTTCACTATGTAGCCTTGCTAGTCTGGAACTCACTGTGTAAACCAGGTGGTGTCAAATTGCTGTGATCCTTTTACCTCTGCCTCCTGAGTTTTGGGGTTCCATGCATATGCCGTCACACCTGGCCAGTTTACATGTTAAAGCTAAGAAAATAGAAGGCAGGGACTGGGGATATAGCTTATGGGTTCCATACTCACCTAGCAAAGCCAACACCTTGGGTTTTATCCCACAAAACCAAAAAAGAAAAAAAGAAATACAAGAACATGGTCCCTTTTTAGGTACCAAGTTATGAGATGGAGCGCTGTCAGCATACTTCCTGGGGCTCCCTGCTGAATAAGCCTGCTGTTGACTTTATAAACAGGATACCAAGGTCCCTGCTTTTCCTCTTGTCACTAGAGGCCCTTATGAAAGGTCAGGAGCTCTAGTATTTGCCTGTAGCCACCTGGCAAGCTGAGTCACAGACAGGCTTACCAGGAAGTGGAAAGCAGGACACTCAGAAGAGGAACAATCTCGGTGTTCTGGAACGTGTGGCAGAGCAGCCAGTGCCAACGCCTCCTTTAGTTTGAAATCCTTTTTTATTGCTGTTTGTTTTAGAATTAAACTTTTATTTTGAGTGATCTTGTGTTTCCCATCCAACAACCATTTTTTAATTTTATTTTTGTTCTTTTTTTAATATTTATTATTTTTATTTTATCTGTATAAGTGCATTCATTGCCTGCATGTAGGTAAGTGCACCCGTGTCGTACAGTGCCTGCAGAGATCAGAAGAGGGCATCAGATCCCCCTGGAACTGTAGATGGTTGTTAGCCGCCATGTGGGTGCTGGGAATCAAACCCTGGTCCTCTGCAAGAGCAGCCAGTGCTCTTAACTGCTGAACCATCTCTCCAGCCCCTTTGTGTTCTTTTAACAACTTCTCATATATATGATGCATTCTGGTTGCTGTCACCCTCACTCTCTCTTATTTCCCTCTGATCTCTATTGTACACCCCACACACAAGTCCCTTTTCTGCATTCATGTCTTTTTGTTTTGTTTTGTGACCCACTGAGTTTAACCTGGGTTATCTGTGTGACCATGGATTTATTACTATTCCTTAGAGCAACTAATCAGTGGGTACACAACTAAAAACAATGTCTGCTCTTCCCCCAGACTCTATCAGGATAATTGAACAAGGAGGAGTAGGCAGTGTTGCCAAACAAGGATCCTTATGTGCTTTGAAAAGAAATGCTCAGTCAGCATTGTCCAGAGTGTGCAGATGATTTGAAACATACACCATCTACAGGCCAAAGTCTTTGTAGGAAAATAGCTTTTACTTTCCTAAAGTTCTGCAGTCTATAAGAGTTAGTACTTCCAGCCTCTCTAGCCCATTTTTATTATTCCTTCAAGAACCTAAGAGTATAGTATTTAATGGAAATTTGTTTTCAAGCCTGGAAGCCCTGGTGACATCTCTTAACATAGGCCTGTTTCTCTTCCTTGCCACAGTAGCCAGAAGAAGTTATTTCTTTTGCTGCAGTGGTTTTTATTTTTGTTGATACTTTTTTTATTTTTTAATTTTTAATTTTTTGGTCTTTTTGAGACAGGGTCTCCCTGTAGCCCCAGCTGTCCTGGAACTCACTATGTAGACTGGGCTGGCCTTGAACTCACAGAGATCTGCCTGCCTCTGCCTCCCAAGTGCTGGGATTAAAGGAGTGCGCCACCACGCCTGGCAATTTTTTTTTATTTCAATTTTTCTTCTACTTTTGTGTGTATATGTATATAATGTGTGGGGGTTTGAATGCTGTGTGTGTGTGTGTGGAGGTCAGATGACTACTTACAGAGTCAGTTCTCTCTGTCCACCTTTATGTGGGCTCCAGGGATTGAACTCAGGTCACTAGGCCTGTGCAGAAAACACCTTTACCTGTAGAGCCACCTCACTGGCCATTTTTGTTGGTTTTAGTTTTACTGACACAGGATCACATGATGTAGCCCAGGCTTGCCTCAAACTTGTGATCCTCCTACCTACTGGGATTACAAGTGTGAATACCATGCCTGGCTACTGCTAAAGTGTTTTTAAACACATTTTTTTAACTTGCTGGAAAAGAGTTAAACTCTGCTGTCTTTCTGAGCCTAGTGTTTCCTCCTAGACCTAATTCATGTTCCCTACTTCTGACAGGTTTCCTGCAGGCAGGCAGTTCCTGGAAAGCAGGCTGGCTCTGGCCCTTGGGCCTTCTTCCTCCTCCTGTGCATATTGCTCCCTAGTAAGGTTGGTTAGATAAGCACTGGAATATTCAAACGGAAAGGCTCTTACTGAATAGAAAATCTTTGGAATGTGCATGATTTTAAAACAACAGAAAAGATTGGTTATGTCAGCTGCTACTGGGCTTTCAAACTTTAAAGCTTTTTGTGTAAAAAATATGGAAAATATTTTACCACTTCTGGGAAGAAGAGTATCAATATTTATTGGCCAGTGAGAGTAGTTATTTACTATTGGATTCAGGTTGAAATTAATATTAAATCATTGAAATTTTTTGTTTGCCTATTTGTTTTTCAGCCCACATATCTTAATAAGCCTGGTGGAGAGAGGAAGGGCAAAGGCTGGATTGTTGTGTTTGGTGGCATGATGTGTTTGTACTGTTTCACAATTGGGCAGGGTCTATTAGTGTTTTCTGTAGGTTAAACCTCTGAGTCATACTTTAATGCTTTTATAGTCGAGCTATGTCACATGGCCTGCTTTTTCTACATTACCCTTCAATATTTCACATAAAATCCAGCATAATTTCCTGTATGAGATTGCTTTGTTGGTTAGTTGGGCATATGTTCCCAGAAAGCTTTCTTTTTCTGCCTTAAAAGCTCTATAAGTGGTCTCCTGAACTACTACATTCCATCTAAATCGATTCAGGCCATTGCTCCAGACTTCCTCTTAATTTCTGCATCTGTCTTGCTATCTCTCCTCCCAACCTGAATTTTGTCCCATTCCCCCAACCCCTGCCCCAGGGGAAGAATTTCTCAGTCCCACTCATTTTTTCCACTCTCCTGTGGGATGTGGATGGATTTCACATTTCCAGCTACTTGAAAGGCAACAGGTACTTCCTTATTGTCTGAAACTGAACTTGTTTTGATTCTTTGATTCTTGTTTTGTTTTTGACTAGGGTCTGTCTCTCTCTCTCTCTCTCTCTCTCTCTTGTGCGCGCGTGCCCAGGCCACCCTCAAACTCACAACAATCTTCCTACCTCAGCCTTCTACTCAGAAGCATTACTCAATAGCATTATAGATGAGAACCACTACACTCTGCTTGAAACTCAGCTTCTATACAACTCAATTATTTATCTCTCACTCAAAACTGACTCCTCTTAGTAATGTCTGTGTCCTAGTCAATTGCACTAATATTAATATTTTCCTAGCCCCAAGAATTTGTTCCTTTTTAAAAAAAATTTTTTTTATGTATATGAGTGTTTTGCCTGCATGTATGTAAGTGTACCAATGTCATTCAATGCCCATGGAGGCCAGAGGAGGCATTGGATCCCCTGGAACTAGAGTTACAGATGGTTGTTAGCCACCCTGTGAGTGCTGGTAACTGAACCCAGGTCCTCTGCAAGAGCAGCTGGTGCTCTTTAGTGCTGAGACATATTTCCAACCCTGAGAAATGATTTCTTTTAGCCATTTTTGACACTTCTACCACTAGAGGTACTGCATTATTTCTTAATGGTAGTCTTAGCTATTAGATCTTTCATAGAATAAAATATTCTCTTTTTTAAGGGTGAGGAGATGGCTCAGTGGGTAAAGTGTTTACTGTACAAGCATGAGAACCCGAGTTCAGATCCCTACCACCCACATAAAATTGGGGTATAACAGTGCATGTCTGAAACCCCAGTACTGTGTGGTGGAGGCAGGCAGATCCTTAGAAATCACATTCTAACTGAAATGATTAGCTCCAGGCTTACTGAAGAGACTCTGTCTCAAAAAATAAGGTGGAAAGTGATAGAGGAAGACACCCTGCATCAACCTCTGGCCTCCATGCACACATATGGTTGAGCACACAAGGAGACACATGCTCATACAAGTATACAGCATACATATGTATACAACAGAGAGAGAGAGAGAGAGAGAGAGAGAGAGAGAGAGAGAGAGAGAATGAATTCTGTCTTCCTTGACTGACCCAATACTGGCCACTGATGAGTATCCACCCTAGTTTATTCAAGAGCCACCTGTAGCTACCAGTCTGGACTCAGCCTAATCAGTAAGTGGGTCTTCCCATGTACTAAACCCATCTAGTCATAGGTATCACTGGCTCTGTCTTCAAAGTAAATTTTGGATCTGTGTGGCATATCTTCTACCTCTACCATCTTATTAGTTCAAACCTGGATGAATTCTATCTTAATCATAGAAACTACTTGATCATCCTTCATGCCTCCACCTCTGTGTCAAAATTAGAGCCATCTCTCCAGCCCCTAAATTTAAAAGTTTTAAATCATGAAAGATTATCACAGAAAATATCATTGATACAGCACTTGAAGAAAATTTTAAGCTTATGAATCTGTAATTGGCTTTTACAGCTACATGTAAAACTGTTCTATCATGTGTTTTGTTTTGTTTTTATTTTATTTATTATTTTTATTTTATGTGTATGAGTGTATTGCCTGCATGTATGTGAGTGCACCTTTGTAATGCAATGCTGTGGAGGTCAGAAGAGGGCTTTGGATTC